CCCACAGTCAGACTTTGGAAATGATGATGCATACAATGAACTCCGGACTAGGTGCGTTCCTCTAATTCTTCCTACCAATATGACCATGTTGCGAAAACAAGGTCAAACAATCTCTACTCACGAGTTAGTTGGCAATTTTAGGCCCAAAAACAGACTCCAGCTTATTCACGTCTTCTCCTCTTATTCAATGGCTCTTCCTTTCTCTAATTCAATTTAGCAGCCAGTAGTTCTTGCATAGTTTCCTATACTTTTTCCTCTTATTCAAGATGTGCTCTATTTTGTTAATTTCAATCGCATCATTGCGGAATGATTCGACTACCAGTCCCTTACCAACTAAAGTGACCTACGACGAAAATGCGAGTTTAGAAGACTCTCCTGACAAATCTCTGGCTGTTTTCACACGAAGCGAGGGAAGATGAGTCGTGGACTGCGTCAAACTGAACGTCGTATTAAAGCCAAACAGCAGCAGTATAGCCCTAGCAAGACGTCATCTTCTCGTGAGATCGACCTACGAAACTCTTCATCAAACACACTTTTATGCGAAATGAATGTCGTCACAACAATCGCATGCAGCCTAGGCCGACGGTAATTCTCATTCAAAACGTACAGAAAGTCTCTAAAATCTACTTTCTCCAAATGTCAACATTCAGGTTAGTATGCAATTTGCAGGTTAATTAAACACTCTGATCGATACGGTGCAGACGGCTGTCCAGAAGGCCACGATGCACGAAAAGTTTACGACTTGCAAGTACCGCCTATTTCGCACCATCTACCAAAGTGGAGATCACCTCGCACTACTGACGAAAGGTCAGCTCCAAGTAGTCAGCACCGATCGACGCAAAATGAGCGGAGCGCCTACTCGTCGCAGAATCACGAAACACGTCTCCTCTCGGGCCTCGGCTAAAACGAGACAAACACAGCCGTCTGGGGAGTTATTACAGCGAACGCAGCTGGTATCGATTTTCTCCCCAAAACGCTCGTGATACGCCTGACCTTATACAGCCGTTTCAAACTCGCTAGTCATCGATCCTCTCGTACGCCTCGGTGTCTGGACGTACACTTAAGCGTGAGAATTCGCCCAATCTTCACCACTCGGACCTTGCTCGATCCGACGCTCGTCAAGCCTGCGCGGCATACGGCACATTCACGCTGCTCTTTCGGGCCGCGATCAGCCGTCCAGTCTATGCTTGCTCCAATCTCAAAAGGACCGCATCATCATCATCATCATCATCATCATCATCATCA